CTTCTTCTAGAGTTTAGGGCTTAGGGTCTACGGTTTTGGGTTTCGGGTGTAGGGTTTAGCTCCATAACCCTAAACCCTAAACCCGAAACCCTAGGAGGGGGGGGGGGACCCCAATCGGGATCTTTCTGAAGGCACTTGTCCTTTTGTAGTTCGAAAAACCCTACGCTACAGAGCACGGTGGTCGTGGCCCCGGGGCATACTCTGGAGTGAAATAAACAAACAAACGAATAAATGCAGACATGCATAACTGTTTTTGTACACATATAGGTATGTACGAAGGTATATGTACGTGTGTATGTATGTGCGTATGCATGTGTGTACACATTTTATGCATGTATGCATGTATGTATGTACTTATGTGTGTATATATAGCATATATAGAGCATATATACATATATACATATATATTTATATGTTTATATATATATATATATTGTACATACATACAATATGCAAAGGAGGAATAGAAGGGGATACTGCTATATGAGCGTTAAGGCGGATCCCCATCGTAGGTCCACAGATTAGGTCCAGCCTCGACCAAGCCATACGGCTGATGCACAAAATCCTGCATGACCCTATATGCCTAAACTATGGGATTTATGGTACTATACTATATTTGGGTCATGCAGAATTTTGTCCATCAGCCATAGCTCGCGAATCCGGGGTTTAGGCGCCAATTCTGACAGAGAAGCCCTGATCCACAAATTCGTCCCTTGGGTCGGGTGCAGAAACGAGCATAACGCAGGATGTTCTTAGTATACACCGGTTTACCAAAAGGTACACGTGCTGTTCTACTTCGGAATGAAAAGATTTTTGTGATCTTGCGAGCTATACGTGAAGGCTCTCATGAACATACAATGCCAAATCGCAAGAACCGAGAACACACAGCTTGGCTCAACAGCAACATGCTGCAAGTGCTCACCACACCGCTGGCCGAGAGCCTTGATAAACAGCGCCTGGAGCTGTACTGGAGAAACTTCTCCCCCCGGCATGCTGTCGCTCATCTACAAAACAATAGTGGCCAAGCAGCCTTTTAACAATAAAGTAAGAGACATAGCAAAAAGCACCCACCCCCTGAACAAGCAAACAAATAAGAATAATACCAAGTAAGGCATTGGCGAAAACGAAGACTGAGAACATACGTATGAATAAGAACAGCCACAAGAAAACTGCAAACAACCTTGACAATACTAAGGATCGTCACAGTCGTCATGAAACAATAGCCGCCGTGGTAATACTAATCACAGCCGAGCACAGAATCGGGCAATGTAATCGTACCAATAACAAGAATAACTACAACAGCACCTTAAACAACCCCTACACCCTAAACCCTAAACCCTAAACCCTAAACCCTAAACTCTAAACCCCAAACCCTAAACCCTAAACTCTAAACGCCAAACCCCTAAGACCAAGAGGCGGGTCCGACGCTGGAGACGGAAGGCAGATCGGGGCTCCTTGGGAAAGCTTGGGCTTAGGGTTTAGGGTTTAGGGTTTAGGGTTTAGGGTTTAGGGTTTAGGGTCGGGGGGTGCAGGTTTGGGGATGAGGGTTTAGGGTTTTTTGAGGTGGGTTGGGGTTTAGGGATTAGGGCTTTTTGGGGTGGGTTGGGGTTTAGGGTTTAGGGCTTTTTGACGGGGTTGGGGTTTAGGGTTTAGTTTTTTTTTTTTTGGGGGGGG